GGTATTTCAATTTAAGACTAAAATTCAGTTTCGTCACAGAATAAGTAATGAAAAATTCCGTGCTAGTGTTGCCACTCTATTAAAATCGCTGACCCGGACGGCAGGTGAGGTTTGTTCGAATAGAAGTTCCTGACACATGCGTACGTCATTTTGCAATGCGAAGAATAATGTGTATTGCATGCCGGTTCTAAATCAGTTACAGTTAGTGACTAGGGAGACTTGGATAGGAGTAACGCAAGTGACCTAGCTGTATTGGATATTGGAGGTGTGTATATATATATATATATATATACACAAACAATTCGTACAAGCAAAAAACTAAATAAATAAACAAATAAAAGGTCAACAGGTCGCGCACGATATCCGGCGAGTCGATTCCCGGACTATTCGGATGGATGGTAACACTATTCCGTGCTCATTTCAATCGGTCCGAGTCGTAGGTGGACGAAAATATGAAATAAAATGGTTCAAATTCTTACTAGACATTATTATTATTTATTGTGAAATTTTGCCGCCCCTAAAAAGTGGCGCCCGGGACGGGCTGCCCCTGCCGCCCCCACTACGCTACGCTACTGCTTCAGACTTTAATAGACTCTCAGACGAACCCGAAGTGGGAGAGGATCTTTTCATATCAGTGGCTGAGGACATAAAGCAGAAAGTGAATAAAGCGGAATCCCTTGTGCTGGTGAACAGACGAATGACGATTGAAGGTACCATGGCTGAGGTCCACATCAGTTACACGAATCTTGCGCGAATGTCTGCACCTTTCAAAGATCTCTACAGAGGATTCCGCGTCTTCTCACACCATTCCAAAAATCACAACGAGTAGAATGTTTCCAGCGGTTCCCGCTTTGCAACAGGGACAAGGATGACTTTTTCTGTCGACTAATCACAATGGATGAACGTTGGTGTACCATTTTGACTCGAAGACGAAACAAATGAGTAAGCAATGAAAACATACCAACTGATATCCTCCAATAAAGGCGAAAATGCAGCTGTCCTATGGAAAGATAAGGATGTCAGGTTTTGGAATTCACGGGGTGTCATCTTGACAGACAACTATCAAAGATCCAGACAATTATGCTGGCTCTCCACTTACTGTGATAGCGTCACTGTCCCCTGATGATTCATATAGCAACGCAATCACTGCCCTGTGTGCCTACGCACTAGAGGTGGGTAGTTCTGGTCGAACCGTTACAAAGGAATTGTTCCGGGCTCAGAACTACGGAGAGAAACATGTACTTTATAATAACTAATGAGGATTTGAATAATGGATGCTTTATGGATGAAACAGTTTGCAAATTGGTTGTGAATTCACTTCATTCAGAGTTTCACTAACGGCTAAAATTATTTATTTTTATATCACTTTCAGGCTTTATTTTTTACACGAGAAAAAATTTTGTTCTGAAATCGGAAGTTACTACTAAAAATTCACAAAAATTATTACATGTTCAATACATTTTTATCTAATTTTATACATAATAAAAAACTTAAAGTCACTATGTTGTTTCTTTTCTTTAGTTTTTTACTGGTTAATTAAGCAATCTCAAATCTCTTATAAATAAATTGAATTGGAGGTAAAACTCGGGTGAGTTAACGATCATGATTGCGTGTTGTACGTGGTTTGTGTAAGGCTGCGTACACACTAGGCGTTTTTAAACGCGCGTTTTAAAGAACCAAGAGTTCTGCATAGGCATACACACTCAAACGCGCGCTTTTGGCCAAGCACGCGTTTATAGACTTTTCTTAAAACGCATGTTTTGCGGGCGTCAGCCGAGCGCTTTGAGATATATGTGCTGCCATGTTACTGTACATTCGATCGCGCGTTTTTGGGTAGAGTGGACGTACGTTGGCCGAAATGGAGAACGATCATTTCGATACTGATCTATTTATTGATGAAATCTAAAAGAGACCNTGTGCTGTCATGTTGTTGTACTGTACATTCGATCGCGCGCTTTCGGGTAGAGTGGACGTACTGTACGTTGGCCGAAATGGAGAACGATCATTTCGATACTGATCTATTTATTGATGAAATCTAAAAGAGACCAGCCATCGTCAAATGATTTTATAGATAAATAAATAATAAAACAATGGGATCGGTTATTCAAATATTAAAATTAATAAATTCTAAAAAATTTTTCTTTAAAAAAACCTTTAAGAAGTACAAGTGAAATTCACTTTTTAAATCCGATTTCGATAGAGTTTAAAAACAGAGAAACACCAGAAAATCACTTTCACTATTTCTTACTTTATTTTTCTTTTTTTATCCATTTTTATCCATATATATTTCGCTTATCAGCCTCATCAGTGGATTTCATTAGCCTCATCAGTGGATCCACTGATGAGGCTGATAAGCGAAATATATATGGATAAAAATGGATAAAAAAAGAAAAATAAAGTAAGAAATAGTGAAAGTGATTTTCTGGTCTTTCTCTGTTTTTAAACTCTATCGAAATAGGATTTAAAAAGTGAAGTTCACTTGTACTTCTTAAAGGTTTTTTTAAAGAAAAATTTTTTGGAATTTATTAATTTTAATATTTTATAGATATTCTAAAAGAATTAAAAAAACTTGGGTTCATATTGTCTTAGTTTTGGATACAACGTCACAAACATTCCATGCGTCAGTCTATCTCGTAATATTGGGTGCACCCAAAATTCCCTTTGCCTCTGCCATCGTCTTTTATAGCGACGATGGAGGAGGCACACACAAGCAATTACTTTCACGTCCATTTCCAAACTGAGCCAGTGTTCATGCTCCACTAAACGGCCATCGAACGCCGAGCTAACGCGCGGTGTGTACGCTGCTAACGCGCGTTTAACGCAACACAAAACGCCTAATGTGTACACAGCCTAAGCCGCGTTTCTTTATATAACGAGAGTGTAACGAAAATGACGTCACGAGCAGCTATCGCTACATGTCACTGCATTATATTAATAGTTCAGAAACACTTTCCGCTAGAGCTAAACATGGACACCGTAGGCCTAATCTATTCTTTTAGTTTAATTCCAGTTACAACCGAAAGTAGTGTTTTAGTTAAAGAACTATTGATACAAAATAACAAAAAAAAAACAAAGATATAAAGAATTTAGTATTTTTCTTTTCGAAAATGTGAACAAAATAAAGAGACTGAAGATGAGTAATTATGTTTAATTAAGATATAGTATTTTCCTATTTTTTAGATGACTTTCAGAGTCGCTTTAGAAAATTTAATCCGTCTTAATCTTTCTATAATATTTTTATCAACAGTCACTTCGACATTTTAATTTTCATAGCATAAAATCACATTACACATAGGAGCATCAGTTTTGCTTTGCACACGCAGCGGATGTAAAAGCTGCTTTATTTTTGCTGTAGCGATCCCTTGCAGCAAACATTTAGAAACGTTTTGCTGTGTAACAATCGAGCAGCGCTGTAAAAAGAAATGCGACCGCACTGAACTGCTGTTCTTAGAGCCACCTGTCGGAGCTTGAAAACAAATTTAAAGTAAAAAGGTGGAGTTGGCAGACCATTAAATATAAACACTCTGGTACAGTACTAGGTAATAGTATTTTCTCAGAAGTGGCGCTGATTCCCTATTTCACCTATATTTTTGACAAGACTATGTCTTGTTTATAAAATCGTACTGTCCGTTTATGTTACCAGCTTAGACGTATGAAGGCGTACATGTCGAGAGTTGATATTTGGCACAGAGTATTAGGTGCCCAAATCATTTGCGCATAAAAAATCCAGACTCGTAGGTAGTCATGGAACTGAGAACCGAGTCAAAATAAAATACAAAATGGCTACCCTCTTCTACAAATAGGCAAAACAGCCACCTCACCCCACCGAAGTCTGGTGGGAGAGAGTACCACTCACAGTCATTCTAAGAAGTGAACTCTGACCTTAGGACCGAACACATAGTTTCTTCTATGTTAATTAAATAAAAGTTGTAATCTAATTTTGTAAATTTGGGAGTGCTTCAAATATGACATTAAAACAGAGTGCCGTTACAAGTAGGTTTTTTAACATTATCTAGTATAGTAAAATCGTGGGACCGATAAAAATTTGACGTTATATTAGGGTTGTCGTTACATCCGATGACTTTATAATCGGGTTAAACTGTATATTGTTTGCGAAAAATAAAAAAATAATTTCGGACGATACAATAGGCACGATTATTTTTTTTCAAAAACGGGAAATTTTCGTTACGCATCGACAAAAATTCAACCCGGCCGACACGCAACAGAGAGAAATTTCGAAATTGGATAGGTTAATTTCATCGAAAATGCATCGTGGACTGCCTCGTGGTAGTGGTCGGCGAAGTTTGAACGATCGCGCGATACCAAAGAAGATTGAAGAATGAGAACGAGACCCGCCTTGAGCGTCAAAGTGATTCCGCTTAGTAGTGAGTCTCCGAGACATAGTCTTGTTCCAAATACGGTTTTGCCGTTTTACTTGTTATATATCTTCTCTATGGAAAGAAGCAACTTGAGATCAACGGTACGCGTGATCTTCTGTTAAACCAATCAGCACATTTCCTAATGATGTCAGCACTTTTCGCTTAGTATGTCAGGCAATGTGTGAATCTTATTTTTTTCTTTCACTAGATGGCAGAACTTTTCCATTAAGTGTGTTAATTTTTTATATCATATATTCACTGTAAAGAATCATGCATTTAACAACTACTATAACAAACTTCCTCGTTTTTCAATACCAGATCGTGAAGTTTTCATAACACTGTTTATGATGACAGTGACGTTTTAACAAACGAGGAAGAAATCGGAAGTAACTTGTCACAACTAAGTAATCAACGGTTGATGTTTATTGGTTAATACCCAAGTTGATTCTTTTCATGGACAGTCTAAAGATATTATTAAATCCATTAACAAACATTTTACAAATAAAGTAAGTAGTTAAACATTAGAAAATATTTTCAACGTTCGGCTATTTTCGTCGCTTTTAATTACCCTAAAAAACACGAAAATTGAAACTCATGATTACGATTTATAATACAGGAAAATCTTTATTTTTAGAATCAAATTGAAAAAATATATTAATAGATCGATGAAATATTTATATCACACTCTTTTGTGGTTAAAGTGCTGACACACTAAACAGTGCTCACTGCTCGTTTTAACGTACGCAACACTTGAAAAATTTCTTAAGTTTTGCCCGAACCTACAAATAAAAGAAACGAATTGTCAGTTGCATTTTTATAGGCATATTTAATGATTAATTTGTAATTTTGGATGCGTAACTTACTTCTTGGTTTCCCAGAGAGTGGAAGACAAAGATACAGACTCCGATGATAGTGTTGAGAATGGAATAAACGCTATACAAACCGAGATTCTGTTCGTAATCGGATAGAATTCCTATTATCCAAGACGATAAGATCAGCGGCATTATTATCAAATTCGACCGCTGATGGATTCTATAAAAAAAAATATAAGTAACTTGCAAATGGCTTATCTCACTTGACAGAATTTATACATTATCGTTTACAGTAAATTTGTACTGGAGAAAGAAATAATAAAATAGTTCTACAAAACAAATATTATTTATTGAAGTAGGAGACGTGGTTGCTGTATCTTCAAATTCTGTGTGTAGCGTCTTTGCAATCCAAACAATAATTTTGGTAGATGATCAAACAGCAATTAGTTAGAAAAACGTTACAGTTTATTTAAAACACTTTCTTAAATTCAGATGCATTTCGAGTTGGCTTGTATTCCCAACCCCTCTTCAGTGCTGTTAAAGTTACGAAAAACAAGGTGAGTTTCACGACATTGGTAAGTACGACGTAACAAAAACGTGGGGTGACAATAACATAAAAAACTTACATGTTATATAATGGTACAGGATAGACCAGAGGTGGGGAACCTTTTTACCATTAGAGGCCACATTTAAATTAGGCAGCAATAAGAGAGGCCACATAAGCTGATTGACCTAAGAAAGTGACTTTTGTGAAATTATTATAGTTTTTCTATAGATTTAACAATTTATTGCATTATATAGAANTATTTTGCATTATATCTCGGGACTGGATGAGCCAAAAATTTTGAAACTTGGTAGAATTATCTCTATATATGCTACTAAGTTTTGGTAATTAAAAGTCAACGGAGTGGAGATATAAAAAAGTCAGACTTAATTCAACGAGTTTATAAAAAATTTTAAATGCCAATAAGGCATTTAATTTTTTTTATAAACTCGTTTTTACCTTCAAAATGAAATCTTTTGTCTTTTTATAATTAACAATATAAAGCTTATTTTTAAAATAAAATCTTATAACAGATAGCGCCAAACATAATTTTAAATTTAAGCTAATGTCTTGGTATTTTATAAATTTATATTTCTCTGTTTAAAAGAAACTATCACAATTTAACAAAATCACTTCTTTTAAGCTGTTTGTTAATAATTAAGTTTATATCCTAGAATAATTGAAAATTATAACTTTTTTCCTGATTCCCTTAAATTAATTAATCTCCAGTTTCAGTGCCAGGAAAGTGGAGCACTCTTGCCAGTTTATTTAATTTGAACAGTAGGCAAAAAATATGAAAGTAATAATAACTTTAGAAAGAAATTGCGCATAATTATATCCACAGTTTATTCCTCTTTAAAGAAATGTTGCACTAATACATTTCTCTCAAAATTGGGCATGCCCTGTTGAAGAAAAAGCCTACTGTACTTACACCAGAGCCTATACTACAGGGAGAGACGTGAGAAGACGTTTTTAAGAAGACGTGAGAGCGCTCGTGAGAACTAGTATAGTGGTGTAAATAGCCACTATACTAGTAAATAAAAATAGTGCTATAGAGGAAATATACAAGCATAGGTTTTAAAGGTAAAATTTAGACATTTCGATTTTTTCTAGAAACGATTGGAAAAAAATGTTCTAGAACATTCGTTGTGGATATATAAGTAGAGCAACTAAAGAGAATTTTATCACATTTTATTAAAATAGATGCATCAGCAATGTCTGACAATGTGAAACTTCGAAAGAACATATTCGCATGCTGTTACTCTATCATTTAAGAAGTGGCCACAACGCAACGAAGGCTCACGATCTCATCTGCAAGGCATTTGGTGAGGCCACAGTCAACAGACAGACAAGCTATAATTGGCTCAAGAAATTGAAAGATGGCGATTTCTTGTTTCAAGACGAACCTCGTTCAGGCAGCGATTTTCACCATTGATGACGATGTTCTTCTGCAACTGAAAGACGATGACCTACGGCTGACCACCAGAAAATTAGCATAATTACTTGAGTGTTTCCATACCCTCCAAAAATTACCAAGATCCGATACCACCATGACAACGCTCCAGCACATAGAGCAAAGATAACTTTAGAGAAGCTGGCCAGTCAGGTGTTGGAGGAGAAGAAATAACTTGCAATTCTTATGCAGACACATATTTAGTATCCATACAAAACGTGTTGATTTACATGTATAGAGCAGACGCCAATAGATATTGTCATGACACACACGAAAACAAAAAGGGAAGAACCCCATGTGACACTCATCTTTATACCTCTTTTCCCCACCAGTGTTGCCACTCTGGGATTACATACAATTTCAAATATTAAGAACTTTTACAAATTACCTCTAAGAGGCTAAGAGATTCTACCTCATCCACCTTATGACCCAGACTTTGTGCCAATTGACTATCATCTATTTAGCGCCCGACAAAACCCTATCTTTAATATACAGTTTGCAATATAATGGCAATACCCAGGAGCGGTTCTGATAGGCGTGCAGTGCGTGTATGCAAGCAGATGGTCAAATTCCTAGGACTGTCAATAGTTTACTTTAAAAAATAAAATTCAAATATAATTTAATATTATTTTAATATATGATCGGCAATAAAATAGACTGATGTTTGCATAATGACTGATGATGACAAGTTAGTACTGTATAGCTGTGCAGTTTATGAATATAAATAACACTGAAGCATACATGTTAAGTGTTTTGCATTAGAAAACTTACAAGTGCAAGCAACAGGTGATGGGGATTTTTATCCGTTGAACCAGAAAAAATTCATCAGTAGAAATTCCATAAGCACTACGATTGTTTCTTGTTTTAAATCACGCAAAAAGCATAAAAACTTGGAGTCTGTAAGATTTTATGTTAACTTTTTATGTTAACTTAGTCTTACGATTAAGTTTAAGATCATACTTACGAAACTCATAGTGAATAGTTCCATTAAATAACATAGGTACAAGGTTTTATGTTTATGCTTAATTTTCATGTTTGAATGGATCTTTATTCTCGTATCGTTAATCTTAAAGCGTTACCACTGTTGACAGAACCAAAAGGAAATTTAATAAAGAAAGAGATGCGTACGAACGTTATTAATTTAAATATTTATATTTAAATTAATCTTTACACACACATAAGATGGCGCCACTAAATGTTTTCGGGGAAAGTTAAGCGACTCGTTGCTGGATTTTTTGTTAAGCATTTATTAGTTTTACTTCCTGGCTGTTTTAGAATATAACAGGGAAAGTACGGTGATTGGTCGAATTTTGGTTTCCGCCGGGTTTATTGCATTTCTCCACGTTTTGAGATTCCAGGAGCTCAAAAATGTAAAACACCCCTTACAAAATTGTGTGTTTATTTTGCATTATATCTCGGGACTGGATGAGCCAAAAATTTTGAAACTTGGTAGAATTATTTCTNGTTATCTACGAAGTAGCTTGAGTTAAATAAAATTAAAATAAATATACATCAAATATTTTTATACATTTTATTTATTTCTGTCAACTATATGAAACTGTCCTGAAACATATTAGTAAAGCTTTCATAGGTTGGATTAGGCTATGAATTTACTCGTGATCGATAGCGGGAGGCCAAATATCTGAGGCGGATAACAGTCCAAAATCGGCTCTGACAATACCCAACGTTCGAGACTTTCTTCAAAGAAAAACCTCAGTTATGCTATGCTGATGGGATTGAAAGTTTGTAACAAAGGTGGCGAGATGTGATTGATATTGATGGCGATTATTTACCGGGCTGAATTGTAATCGTTGTTGAGTTAATCTATATAAATAAAAATGTAAATGTTCGTTTGTTCAAAATTTTANAAAACCTCAGTTATGCTATGCTGATGGGATTGTAAGTTTGTAACAAAGGTGGCGAGATGTGATTAATATTGATGGCGATTATTTACCGGGCTGAATTGTAATCGTTGTTGAGTTAATCTATATAAATAAAAATGTAAATGTTCGTTTGTTCAAAATTTTAAATCTCCGAAAGTTCTTCACCGATTGTTTTGAAATTTTGAAACAACGTTACATTTGAATACGCGCCTGTTTTTATATTATATAGATGTTAAATTCCCCTCTCGGGGGAGAGGGACAAAATTAAGATTTACCGTGAAAAATTCGGCTTCTATTATACTATTTTAGATGCGGTTTTTTGCGTTTTTGATTGCGTTTTAATAAGGTTCGTCAGGAAAATGTACACTAAGAAGGGATTTTTCGAAATTCTTCCCCCTTGGGGAGTGTTATACATTTATAATAGATACATTTTGAGCCACAGCAACGCGTGGCCAGGTACAGCTACTTGTAAATAAATAAATATGTATATATTTTCAAAATGTCTAAATTTCATTTTTACAGCCTGATAGTACAAGATAATACTAGCAAAACATAAACTAAAGAGCAAAAATCTTGTATAAAAGGAACGAATGGCACGTAGAGCCACTTTCCATAGGTGCATATACTTTTAGAATCAAACTGATCCAAGATTATTCTGATCGTTCAAATCCCGTCTACAAACGAACTATAGCGATCTGATCAATCTCTATCCGCGTATACAAACGCCATCTAGGATCAACTGGATCGCGATCAAACTAATCCGAACGGAGGGTAGGATCGTTTGGATCGGATAAAAAGGATTAAAGATGGCGACCACCATTAAAGTTAAGCTGATAGTTGTCAGCAAAGAAATATGTTTAATTGTCGACAATGAAAAGTATTTAAAACTTGTAAATGATAAGTAAAAGGCATCATTATTAAAATATCCGATAAAAACTGAGATGAAAAATAATGAGCAAAACTAATTGTAAAAAATGACTCACTTAACGAGCGACGATTCACATAACGAGTGACGAGGAGAGCTGAAGTCCCGGATTGTGCGCATGCTCCATCAGTTTGTGTTTAACACTTATTCCGCTAGCATCTTAGTGTAGCTTATGATTACACATTTTTTCCAAACTTGTGTTCACACATATTACGTATAAACATCAACAACCATCGGCTGTTATATTATATAATAAACGCGCCAAACGATATGCCAAATTCTTGGACTATGTAAAGGCTATAATTAAATATTAGAAATTAATTAATTTGACTAGAGGTAGGCAGTTATGCTGCCATCTCGTATAAAATTTAATGACCAATTCCAAATTAAATTTTAGAAATGTCTAAATAAAAAATTATTTATTTATAATTATCAAATTTAATGCAAGATGGATAACTGCCCACCTCGAGTCAAATTAATTAATTTCTAATAGAGATTGCGGCCAAAGTTTTCATCTTTAGAGATGACGTTGAGCGCCGCCATCTTGTAAGCCTAGAAGTTTGACAATAGCGTTTGGTTGGACAATGGCGTCAGTAGAATCATGCTCGACGTTCCAAACGTCATTATCAAACTTTTGGATTTACAAGATGGGGCGATAAACGTCCGGCGTTCAAATACTTCGGTCGCAACCTCTAATATTTAATTATAGCCTTTACATAGCCCAAGAATTTGGCATATCTTTTGGCGTGTTTATCAGACATATTATCTGTGATTTTTTTGTTCAGGTTGGTTCATTCCGTACTAGAAGAAAAGATGATGATGATTCACGCTCCTTAAAAATGTATATTGTATAATTGTCTTTGAATAACGTTATACATAAAATATTTGAGTATTTTTTCGGCAAAGAATGCATTATCGTATTTTACATTAATTTCTACGGGAAAAATTGTTTCGCGTAACGAGTGTTTCGCATTACGAGTCAGATTCTGGAATGAATTATGCTCATTAAGCGAGGTTCCGCTGTATTTCGAATAGTTCAATGCCTTTTTATTTAAAAAAATTGTCAAAACCTGTATGTATTTTGATAGTAGTTATATATGTAGTAAATACTATCCTAATTATTTTTGTCTCAGTATTTCGTTATGGCGTGATATATTTTGCTTTTTAAAATTTAATTTCATAATTTTTTTAAATAAAATTGTTACATTATAAAATATTTTATCCCAAGTATTTCATCTTCCAATCAACGCAAATTAATTTAAAATTATTCTTTGTTTTATACAGAGGCTATCGATGAATTACGTAACGCAGTTGTTAGTGGGTGGTTATGCAAATCATTGTTAGGATGCCTTGCAAAAAGGTGGGAATTTCTTCAAAAACGTTACGAAATGCTAGGATCTCGACCCTTGGATAGCAGAACGATTCATTTCTGTTTGCGAAGTGTACAATTAATCCTACTGTTTATGTCACTACTTTGTACGTAATTAATAAAATAACGTAACGTTCAGTATCTCGTGAGTGTATTATTCCTTAATACAATTAATGGAGTCGATCCAGATACAGTGACTGAAAAAAGTCTGCGTACAGCACTTATTAAAGTCATCAAATATCCTGTAATATGCAAAAACAACATGTTTCAGTACACTTATTAATACATTTATTGTAAATGTCTACATGTACAGTACACTACATATACAGTATAATAAATTAATAACTAACTAACACTATACATAATAAAATGAAATATGCGAAAATTTAAAACAAAAAAATTGTTTAGAATAAACAACCAAAATTCATGCTAATATTCTGTAGCAAATCCTTTTCTTCTGATAAAACTACTGTAGTTTTGAAGTGTCTTTCTTTCTTTCTTTCTTTCTTTCTTTCTTCTCTAATATGGAGATTCTGGCTGATCACCTTTTCTCCGATGAACTCTTGTCCGCAATTAGTCAAATCGATGTGTGCGTGCTACGTAACGTTCGAGGGCCTGCACGTTCTGTTTAGGTGAGAGGTCTGTTCTTGCCCAATATATGGGTGTTAAAGTCTGGATGATTGCGATATCGATCTTCAGAGTACGGCCAAGTTCTTGTCGGGCTTCCGTATATCTTGGACACGTCAGCCAAAAGTGTCTGGATGTCTCCTGAGCACCACAATGTGGACAGTCTGGTGAAGCACGTAGGTTTCTAGANTTTTGTTTACTTCTTAGACAAGGTAGTTGGCGCTGCTAGCGCTTTTTAAACAGTTTTTTAAAAAATGTTAATTTTTTAAAAAACTGTTTAAAAAATTAACATTGAGTGTCCAAGTCTGAAACGGATGGTCTGTGGGCCAGAGCCTCGCTCATGCGTGTTAGAGTCCGTTTCAGACTAGTATTCTGATGTCATGTTACAATATGACTGTCTTTGGCGGGATTTTTCGCGCAACTGTCATGGCGTTGATGTACAATAGTTATTTGAAACAAACTCTACCATTTTGTACTAGGTGACAAAGGACCGCACAAGAACCTCGCGGAGGCCGCAGGTTCCCCACCTAGGGGATAGATTTTCGTGACCATATTTTTATTACATAGTTGTATGACTTGTTGTTGTATGACTTGTTGTTGTATGTATAGTTGTAGTCATACAACTATGTAATAAAAATATGGTCACGAAAATCTATCCTGTACCATTATATAACATGTAAGTTTTTTATGTTATTGTCACCCCACGTTTTTGTTACGTCCTACTTACCAATGTCGTGAAACTCACCTTGTTTTTTGTAATTTTAACAGCACTGAAGAGGGGTTGGGAATACAAGCCAACCCGAAATGCATCTGAATTTAAGAAAGTGTTTTAAATAAACTGTAACGTTTTTCTAATTGCTGTTTGATCGTCTACCAAAATTATTGTTTGGATTGCAAAGACGCTACACACAGAAAATATTATTTACATTTTATTACATATAATGCTTATTTATCTTATACATTTTGCTGCAAAACAGCTTGTAAAGGTGAAATTTACCATTTCGATTTTTCTAGAAACGAGTGGAAAAAATGTTCTAGTACGTTCGACGTGGGTTTCTAAGCAGATTAACCGACGGGTGTTTCATGACATATTACATTGGAAATAGACGCCTCAACAACGTCTAACAACATGAAACTTTCTAAAGAACACAGCTGCAGGCTGCTGCTCTATCACTTCAAAAGTGGCCACAACACAACGAAGGCTCATGATCTCATCTGCAAACCGCTTTTTAAAGCGTTCACGGGTGAACAAGGATCAACTAGCTGTTGAAAACGTCAAAGGCCCATAGTACAGAAGGCGATGATCTTCGTTAGTAGAACCATATTATCGATATACAGTTCAGTGACAATACCTGACGCTCGAGATTTTCTTGAAAGAAAAATCTGTCATTCTATGCTGACAGGATTGAAAGTTTATAGCAAAAGTGGCGCGATGTAATTGATATTGATGGTGATTAACCTACAACACTGAACTTTAATCATTGTTAAGTTAATTGTCAATAAAGTTTTTTTTTTCAAAATGTCTAAACTTCATCTTTACAACCTGATAGAGTGGATTGTGCAAAATTTACATTAAGTACAATCCAAAATAAAGCATCATATGTTGACATAAAAACCAGCATCTCTTTACAGCACAAGACGTAAAAATAAAAAGTATGCAATAATCTTTCAGTTTATCAGGTTAGTAACGTAGTCAATATTTATAACAGCAACAGTAACGGTATTTCCTAAAAACTATTAATGACTAGAAAACATATTTAAATATTTTAAAATAAATTAAATATTGTAATAAATTAGTTAAAATAATATTGAAAGAAATATAAATACTTTGCACTCATTAGTTGTTTCATATCGACTACTTTGAGGGGTTTGTAATTAGCCGCTCCAGCAGCTTCCAATAGCAGAAAGTCCAAAATGCAGAGTGTTATGATAGGTCCATATTGTAAATAAACCAAAGGAAAGTGCATTTCCAACCAGCAACTGAAATACAATTTAATTCTTAGAATTTTAAAACGAAACAAAAAATCTAGCAACGAGTTTCGTAACTTTTCCAACTGTTAAGAGATTTTATTTAAAAAATAATTTTTGTATTATGAATCATTAATAAATAAATTGTGTGACGCCATCTGTTATGAGATTTTATCATAAAAACTTTTTATATTTTCAATTACTGTATTATAAAATGGCAAAAGGCTTAATTTTGGGGATAGAGATGAGATTCATATAAAAAAGTTATAAATGTTAATAACGAATAACATATTCATTAAGTCCGATCCTCCTCGAGATATGACACATGACATCTTTTTATCTACACGCCCCCTCGACCTTTAACTACTAAAATTTAATAGTATCAATGCTCCTTATGCAAAAGCTACTATGCCAAGTTTCGTTTATTTATCATTACCCGTCCTGAGATATTAAACGAACATAACACACACAAATTTTTTTCCGTCTTTTTTTTACTTTTTTGGGTTCAGGAGGTCTCAAAACATGGATATTTGCAAAACACCCGGAGGGTTAAATCTGACACAAATTCCAATACCTCTCTTGTTATGCAACACAACAGCTAGGAAAGTAAAAGGTAAAAATAATTAACTGTTCGAGAAATGATTAAAATTGCGAAATTATATTCGATATTCAGTGTGAATGGAAAAACTGGTGCAGCAGACTCTTCGTTTTCCATTTTGACTGTTCTACTTTTAGCACAAGAATAGGCCTACATGGATGTGATAATAGCAAGATCAATACGTGTACAGTCGACCCCCCTATAATTACGGTCCCTATAATTACGATTCCTATAAAACTACGAAAAAATATACGTATTTTGGAAATGTTGAGTCGGATTAGTGTAGAATCGATTAATTTTATGGAAGAAAACCTTTCAATCAGCCGTAGTCCGTAAACTTGACACGTGTCGGGCTGTGATTGGAACGACTTGTAAGAAATCGGATTCCTAATAAATTGGAACGTATCTATATCTTATAGAGGGGTCGACTGTATTCGAAAATATTTCAAACCAAGAAAACATATGTAATCCTTTTCGTTTTGATAATTTAATATGCATATTTTAAAGCTTATTGTAAATACATAACAAATAAAAGTACATTTTTAAATTGAACAAAACACTTGAATTTATGTAATCTGCATATATAATAACCTTTTTTTTGCATCCGGTAAAAATTAATTTTAGCTTCTGTCAGAAAATATTTAACTATATTACGCTTTATTTTACAATTACTTATTTTAGTTCCTATGCGTGACAAATGGAAAAGTTATCGTATGCTGAAACTTACAACTTGAAAATAAAAATCTTTATAGACAGATGTATTTTGTTCATTTTTAGTCACAGAAGTAAACCACAACTGACTGTACTGACTGCACCGATATTTCAATTTTGATTAATATTTAATAATTCTTAAAATTATTATTGTATCAAAAAGGCAGCTTACTGATATTCGGCTCCATATTGATCCAAAAAGAAACACACGCTGATGAGAATGATGAACATCGAAACTCCTAAAATTTTCGAATGAAATTATTATAACGTAATAAAACAATTTTTAATGATATATAAAATTTCTTACCCCATCCGAGAATAGTGTTTTGTAGTCTATTGAGCATTCCGTTTCTGGGAACGACAAATGCCACCATACTGTAAACGTGCAAAGACTCCAACATCATAAACATGAAACATGCGGTGAAGAAAAAATGGAGTCCGACCGAGATCATTGTGCAAAACATCTGTCGTGCAAACATCAATTTAGAAAACCATTCATTTTTTATTCGTTTCAGACTACATAGCTTAAAGTACTCTAAGGTTAGTATTTACAGATATAAAATATTAATTAACGCAAATTACCCTAATTTTACTGTGTCTACTGTATACTAGGTAGGCTAAATAAATATTCCAAGATTCATTATGGTAATATTTCATAATTCATAACAAATCTTGCTAGTTTTCCTAGCGCCATAAATTAACTATTATAATACACCATAACAAACGTCTGTGTTTTATATCTATATAAGAATATCAATATTAAAACGATAATTATTTATAATAAATCGTATCCAAGTTAAATTTCTAAAACAATTGTCTTTGATTAACAATCATTTTTAATTCATTACTTTTTCAAGCGCTTTAAACTGTCTATATATATTAGGCTATATGAAAATCAACTAAAATTTTTCTAATTAAAACACTTCACATAATTATATAAGTCATCTATGTGAATTGAAAAGAAATAGATAAGAAGTATTGTAAATCCTTTCTCTTTTACAGCCAATATAAATTTTCTGTCATGAATATTTAGGAAGACTTTTTTGGGACCATCGGACTTCTCTATGTTGTATTGTATTATGGTGAATAATATTTCCACGAACATAATTGTAATCATACCAGACAGAATTTGCTGCTCACTTTATAACGGTTTATCAACAACCAATTACGTGGCAAAATCTAGAGTCTGTCGTATTATAATATAGACGAAAAATAAAGAATTTTATATTATATATACATAACTATCAGTTTCAGTTATGCTTATATAAGTATGACTGTTACTCGTATATCGTAAGAAAGATTGGAAACTTAACTGGTTCTTCTTCAGAAATGGAAGGAGGTATGAGAAGCAAAAGATGAGCGGATTCCAAAGCTATTTCCATATTCATTTGAATAATCCTATCTATCGTAAATATTCTGAAAAATAAAAATTTTAAATTAAAACATTATTCACATACAGAATTACTCTAACATCCATTATAGTCTACAACTATAATGGATGTTAGAGTAATATAGTCTACTATATTACTCTAACATACAACTATAGTCTACAGTCCTACATTTTATCAACGACATCGTAAAAATTAATAAAACTACGCAATTTAATATTTTATTAAAACGTCTCTATTTAGTTTTACTACAACAATTATTATATTTAATAAAATTATTAACGATTAAAAGCGATTTTTACATCATACACTTTATATATGTCAACAAGTTCTGCATAATTTCGAATAATTTATTTTCTTTTAAAGATGTCTCAATTTGGTAAATGTGTGAAAACATTTGAATTCAGTAGCGTAGCGTAGTGGGGCGGCAGGGACGGCCCGCCCCGGGCGGCACTTTTTAGGGGCGGCAAAATTTCACAATAAATAATAATAATGTCTTGTAAGAATTTGAACCATTTTATTTCATATTTTCGTCCACCTACGACTCGGACCGATTGAAATGAGCACGGAATAGTGTTACCATCCATCCGGATAGTCCGGGAATCGACTCGCCGGATATCGTGTGCAACCTGTTGACCTTTTATTTATTTATTTATTTAGTTTTTTGCTTGTACGAATTATTCGTATATATATACACCTCCAATATCCAATACAGCTTGGTCACTTGCGTTACTCCTATCCAAGTCTCCCTAGTCGCTAACTGTAACTGATTTAGAACCGGCATGCAATACACATTATTCTTCGCATTGCAAAATGACATACGCATGCGTCAGGAACTTCTATTCGAACAAACCTCACCTGCCGTCCGGGTCAGCGATTTTAATAAGGTGGCAACACTAGCACGGAATTTTTCATTACTTATTCTGTGACGAAACTGAATTTTAGTCTTTTAAATTGAGATACCTAAATAAGGGGGAGTAAAATTTTCCTCCGCCCCGGGCGACTGACATCCAAGCTACGCCACTGTTTGAATTACAATTAAATATCAAAGTATTGACGTACTGTACATGGTGGACAGACAAGCAGAGCAAAGTATCAATAGGCCTATACCTATATTCTATTTGTTTTGCAAATATGTCGCTCCTTCACTCATATATTTCCTTCATGAAAATCCAATTGCCGATATTAACGTATATGTGTTTCCTTACTTTAAAAGTTGACCACACAACATAGTCTGACACTTATAGCAAAGATCTTCGCTTCCATAAAACGCAGCTATCGAAATCGTAACCCATATCAAGAATTGATTGCACAAATTTTAATGCATCGCAAATTCATATTTCACACATAACGAGCATTCGTTTTGGAGTTTTTTCTAACTGAAATCGAAAATATTTCAAAATTTTACTTCGTTTCAAAATCATATTCTCCGCATATAGGCCTGTATCATAAGAAAAGTGATACATCATGAAACCATTTTATTCTAAAATAGATTCCTGTTCTTTGTCTATTCACTTCGCCAAACTGTATAGAAAATATTGTAACGTAACTTTGTAACGTAACTTAAAATATTGTAACTTTTCCACAAAACATGGCTAATTTAAAAAATAATTTTTAAGTTTTTTTTTTGCCTTTTCCTCTTTAAGAAATTAAAAGGATCCTTTTTTCAAATGTATTGTTATTTGGCCTAGCTTACGATAGAATCGGCTTAGTAGTGAAGGATAGACTCCAAAGTATTTAAAAAAACTTACATATCCGACCTAGATTCGATGTTGGATCCTCTGGGATGGGGAACAGATATCTTTGCTCTTCGCCGTCTGACTTTTGCTATAATTACTAACATTACAAACATACTCATACGTCAACGAATTTTCTGACTGATATTGCAATTTGAGTATATTATTGGCATTCGATATTTTTTATAAATCTCATTTCAAAATCTAACTATATAGAATTTAATGATTAATGATTTAATATCTTTGTTACTAGTAAACTACTTATCTATTTTTTTATTTTAATATATAGATTAAAATAATAAATTTAATCATTATAACGAATGTGTTTTTTATAGGAGTGAATTTCTTATAACTTACCTGAGAAGTAAAAACAAGGCCAAAGTTAAGCCCACCATTATCAGTAAGACCGTACTGGCAGTTCTTGTAACGACAATTGAAACAGTTTTTTCTACCTACGAGAGAAAAGTAAACTTCTAGTATATAATTAGACTTGTTATGCTGTTATACAGTAAAACCTATGTAAACCGGAATTGCAAGGCCCAAATATTTTTTCCAAGTTGCAAAGTTTATACTGTACTACATGCCTTGTTATTACTAGGCCATGTTCATGGGCTTCAAGAGTCTCAACCCGGGATTGAGACTCTTGAAGTTGTATTAGATCTTTCTCCTTCACTTGTTTATTCCGGCTGGACGAAGAGATTCCTCTATAGACTCAAGTGTAATGGTGAACTCATTCCTAAACCAAATACTATTAGGGTTTTAGTGAAGAACAAGATGAAGGAAAACATCTTTAAGACGAGTTCCGACAAAATGTTACCTTGGTTTATGTTTGACAGCTGTTATCTGGTATCCTTTCCTATTCACGTTGACTGGCATATGGGTAGGGAGACTTTTTATAGGATGGTTTATAGACGAATCCAAAACCAATAGCGGCATAAGTATTGGCAAGGCAGCCAGGGGCTTCTTTTACGGATAAATTTCCTATTCCCTTTTCAAGCAGAGTTGTTAGGTATTATTTAGTATATCTGTACAATTTTACGTAGAGATCATTTTAATAAAACTATCTACGTAACAGTGGCGTGCCGTGACATTTGGTGATAGGGAAGAAGCCGACTTCCAGGGTCAGTCAGTCAGTGATGGTCTAGGGACCATTCGTATTCGTTTCTTCGATAAGCCGGTAATAACTGTAGACTTCTCTAAATGTATTTTTAATTAATAGATTGTCTAACGCACTTAATGAATAAGCAAGTTTAATATAATTACCTTCGTTATATTAGATTTAATAGATTCCCTATGTTCTCTAAATGCCAATTCTTGCTTCGATAACATCTACTAATTTAAATATAATATATCTATTAGCCGTAACTATCTTGTTATAATTTTGAATATTTATTTTATATTGTGTACTAATGTTTAAATTCTATTCTATTTTGATTTCCAAATTGCTTCAATTTTACGAAAGAATCGATGCGAGATTTAGGATTTTCGTATCTTTTGCCAGCTTTACTCAAATTATTTAAATCGTCAAAGTCATTCTTATTCCACACACTAATTTTATTTGAAAATAATAGGCAAGGCCAACAAAACAATTTTTGCATTTTTATGCATCCACAAAGCCATTTTATGTGTTCATAAATTTTATCGTGAAAATATCGAACAAATTTTTTGTTGACGTATTTATATTTAATTTAGTCATTAGTCTTTATTAATAATGTTTTCTTTTTCATTGCATGGTCTTGAGCCAAAACTTTTTAAAAATAAATTTTCAATATCACAATTAAATTCTAAATCGCCAGCCATATTACAAAGGCTAAAATTAAAAATAAAATTATAAAAACTTACTTGTTAAAATAAAATGTGTGATGGATATACAGTTACACATACCTGGTACAAAATATTCAATTGTATGAATATACTTTTAAAAGGAAATTATAATTAAATATAGTTTTGTGAAGAAACGTACATAAAAATAACATAAAATATTCTTTACTTTTTAAATATTAAAACAATGCACTTAGTTAAAATTGCTCCCTACCAGTGGCTCATGGATGGAATCAAAGACGATCTTGGTAGGTGTGCAGTGCGTGCAAGCATGCCAAATCCCTAGGGTGCCGATACCGGTTAATGTCAAATGCCTCTTTTGTGGCATTACTAGTATATCTCAAAGGACGTGACGTGGTTGTTGTAAATTTTAAACGTTTATCACCATAGCTGTAAAAATCTAAATTTGTTAAATTTAATAGTCATTTGTTTTCTAACTAATTCGTCTCAAGACCAGGTGTCCACGGAAATTTCCAAAATTTACAACTTTTAGACACTTTCATTGAACTGGAAAAATTTCTGTCTTTATTACATCTAATATTATGAAGAAGTCAGTCCACACTTCTTCGATGGTGTTTATGTAAAGATTTTAGCTCACTGTAGGCTCTTTCTCCGAGTAGACTTGTGTATGATCGCTAGGCGACCGATTAGCCGGCTGTATCGAACAGCCATACGTACGCGCGGGAAATAAATGCCTTCCGGGAGGACTTTTATGGGGAACTGGCCTCCTATTCAGTCGTTATAGGCAAGGAGAAAACCCGGAAAACTCCAAGCAGCCAGCCTGTCCGACCGTGGCGCGAACCCACGACGAACCTCCCAGTCTNGAACTGGAAAAATTTCTGTCTTTATTACATCTAATATTATGAAGAAGTCAGTCCACACTTCTTCGATGGTGTTTATGTAAAGATTTTAGCTCACTGTAGGCTCTTTCTCCGAGTAGACTTGTGTATGATCGCTAGGCGACCGATTAGCCGGCTGTATCGAACAGCCATACGTACGCGCGGGAAATAAATGCCTTCCGGGAGGACTTTTATGGGGAACTGGCCTCCTATTCAGTCGTTATAGGCAAGGAGAAAACCCGGAAAACTCCAAGCAGCCAGCCTGTCCGACCGTGGCGCGATCCCACGACGAACCTCCCAGTCTTTAGGGTCTGGTCACCACTACGATGAGCGGCAACGGAGACCACTCGCCCACTGGTGGGGGCAGTCAGTCCACACTGTACTCGATTAAGCTTTTGTTCAAGTAAAATTCCGGCTCTTTCAGCAGGGTTTTGTTTATGCCCCCAATTCCCTAATCGCTTAATTATTTAACTACTTCTTAAGTAGAAATAAGTCGAAACTGGTTACTTTGTACTCGAATACTTGTAGTCTCGGGAAAAAAGTGGAAAGAAATTTTTATGACAAACGGATACATAAATCGTAAATTTAAGGAAAATAAATTCTAGAGCTTTTTCTGTACCTGGTGCATCTCTCTCATTCATTAAATTTAGTTGTAAATGATGCTGCCAAAGTAACAGTTAATTTTTTAACATTGTACAAGAATTGTACACGTTTTTTTTCTACATCCCCTTAGAGATGGGATATACGAAATCGTAATATCATTGGTTTAACATTGAAATCTATGAGTAATATAAAATCGGAGAGCGTAATAAAAATATCAAATATTTTAACGGATTTTTTAAAACTCCTGTCAACTATACAGAGCTATCATAAAAACATACCAGTAAATTCTTATCGGTTGGGTTAAGTTATAAATCTACTCATGATTCACATAATCGGGCGAGGGCGGCTAACAGCCCAGAACCGGTCCTGAATAGAATTGGAAGCGTTATACGTGTGTAGCTTACACGAACTAAACCGGGTGAGGTTGGTGCTTTGTAAAGCGCATGCGCGAATCTGGATGTTTGGAAGCTGACAATACAGCGCTTCCACTCCGCTGTCCCCTTCTATAATAATGGCCTGTCCTGTAAACTTTTGCATTATCCTTTCAATGCTGTTATAGGTGTCGGCCATCTCTTCTCCGAACGGGTGGTATATACTTACAATTATAATCCTCTGACCAAAAACGATTATCTCACAACATACACATTTATGATTACTTATATCCTTATGAAAAAGGATATCAATATTAGAATTAGAGACAACCACTGTTGCCAAAGGCCTCTCTCTGCCTCAGCCTGAATGACTTGAAGCCTTCTACTTAAACTAGCCACCTTGCCTTTAACCGAATATGGTTCTTGAATTAATGCAATCTCAGGTTTCTCCAGCCATTTATTCATCTCTGAGGTCGCCGCTACCGCCTTTTGCAGATTCGCTTGAGCTACAGTGATCTCTTCTCTTCTCTCAATAATGTTCATTTCCATAATCTGTTCTACTTATTGTAATTGCTTTAATCCTTTGGACTATAGGACACTTTCTGTCCAAGGTGTTATGTGTCATATCTGTTTGGTTTTCATTTTTGCAATTTGTACACATTCTTATCGTATTCATGTTTGGACAATCCTTATACCTATGTCCCTGCCCACATTGACTGCAGGTGGGGGTATCTTGTTTACATTCACGGGCAAAATGACCCATTTTACAGCAATTGAAACATTGTACTATTGGTACAAAATCCTCAACTGGGCACTTCACCCACTGCACATTTAACTTTTTTATTCTTAATAATCCATTCCGTGTCTTAGGCTTCACGTCTACCACCCAACTGGTGGTAGGTCTGTCCCTTCCTCCCAAGGCAAACCTAACCATAAAATCTTGATTAAACTGTTCCAGCTCTTTATAGAGGTATGATATACCCTCATTCTGTTCATATATATACTTCGACAGTTCCATTTTGACTATTTCCTTGGGCACTGCGTGGATGATCACCTTCGGTAATCTTTTCTTTGGCTCCCTCGCTATCATGCCAGGGATCATCTCTACTGCCTTCTGTATTGTTTCTTTGTCTTCTTTCTTATCAAGTTCAATTGCCACTTCACCATTCCTTAATTTTTTAAAACCTTTAACCCCAATCTTCAAAAGATGGGGCTTAATGTTATCCTTTATTATTTTCTTAGTCTGTTCTGCGTCTTTGGCAGCCTCAATAGTTTGCACAATAACAACTTCTCTTGGTTCAACCATCTTATTTACCAATGGAACACTTGCCACTACCTGAGCAAAAGATCTTCCATCTTTTCTTACTTCTTTACTGCTAATTTCATCCAGTTTATCCTTTATACTGGACACCATCTTGTAGATATCATCTCTCCCAGACAATAAATCTATTATCCTCGAAACCTTTCCCATAATCTGCGAGATGTGGTCCTTCGAACCGATCTTCGATCCGGAATTAGCTTTCAAATATTGTAACAGTTCAGCTTCAAACTGCTTAGCAGTGATGACTGTTGCATCCTGCTCCTCCTCCCGTTGACTTGCAAGGGAAGGGAATAATCCCTCTTACTCGAGCCCATCCACCTCCTCTTCCTCGGAAACACGGGTTAGTGCCGCCCGTGTTCCCACTGATGGTGGCTTAGAAGCCATACCACCAAATAGCGGGCCTCGCCACAAGAAGGTAGGCAGTCACTTTCCCAGAAAAAGCGAGTAAAAAATCAGACTCTTCCATTCTTCAGCGAGGCCTTGAGATTCCCGCCCGCGGCAAATGTTGAATATTGTCGCTATGGGAACCCGGCCGTAGCTATGACAACTACCGCCAAAAGTTGAAAATTTTTCCAGTGAGGCAAAAATTTCAAAAACTAAAATCGTTCTATAATAATAACTAATGGAGAGAACTTGCCCACATTTTTTAATTTCTATGCTGAAAACATCCTTTTTCAGACGGTACTTTCAAATTTCAAAAATCACTAAAATTGGGCCCAATACAGCTCTCCAAAACCCGCCCACACTGGTTATAAAAAGTCCCTAACCCTCACTTAATTCGGGTCCTACGACCTCAAAAATTTCAGACAGTACTCACCACCGGATGTACAATAAACGTTTACTTTCAGTTCCGGAAGATCGGCCACCAATGTCCGGATGACCGGTCTACAAACTTGCACTACTTCGAACCTTCGCAGCTGCAGAAATCTCAACCCCACACTCAAAATGATGACATCATCACATTTTACACATCAATACGAATCCAAAGATACCACACACTTAAGTAAAGATATGTAATCCTAGAAATTATCCAAGAGCTCACAAACTCGCGTCACTGACTATCCAAACACCATTGCCAAACTCATCCACTTGCACATTTTTTTTTTTTTCATTGGGGATCATCACTTCCCTTTACAGGGATCAGAACACCCCGCACCGCTATTGCACAACGGGGTTTGTTAATTTCTTTGTTCTTTACAATCTTTAATACAATAATTTAACATAACAAATAAAATAAATAAAAGAAACAATTAACATACTACTGGGCAACTCGCCCAGGATCAAATTACAATTGAGCGCTCTTGCTCTTATGAACCTTCCTAAAGAAAAACTGAATTTCTTTGTATGTCGTATCATTCCGAATCAGGNTTTTTTTTTTTTTTTCATTGGGGATCATCACTTCCCTTTACAGGGATCAGAACACCCCGCACCGCTATTGCACAACGGGGTTTGTTAATTTCTTTGTTCTTTACAATCTTTAATACAATAATTTAACATAACAAATAAAATAAATAAAAGAAACAATTAACATACTACTGGGCAACTCGCCCAGGATCAAATTACAATTGAGCGCTCTTGCTCTTATGAACCTTCCTAAAGAAAAACTGAATTTCTTTGTATGTCGTATCATTCCGAATCAGGTTATAAATACTACAGGGCCAACCTAGCCCCTCAGCCAACGCAACCGATTTCAATAAATGTCTCTGATATTGCCATTGTATACATTCATAAATGATGTGTTGCAAATCCTCTATAGCTTCACCACAAATACAACCATATCTAACATCAAGGTTAAAACGCCTTTTAAACTCTCCCAGACCATCGTGCCCGGAGAGGAAAATCAATACCACTCTATCATAACTCAGCCATTTCATTTGCTTTAACCGTTCTTCAATATTAGGCAAATAGCCAAAAGTTTGCCTTCCTTTATCACTGTTTGTCCAATTATCTTGCCATATTCTTATAGTTTCATTTCTCAAAAATATCTTTGCCCAGCACTTTGGTCATCCACTTGCACAATAATAAAAACAATTTTTACTGAATTATTCTCTTCTATGTAGCCTTAATTTATATAGAGAACACATGGAGTCTATAACAGGTGTGGCCAAACTTTTATCCCTTAGGGGCTACTTTTTTGGTAAAATATAGTCTGCGGGCGACTATGAATATGGGCAAACAATTTTAGGATTTTTATATGTGCATGCGTTAACATTCATTTGCATTGTTCATCGGGATAAATACAAACAGTATGGATACGTTGCACAGTCTATTATTGTAAGAATAAATTATCGAATTAAGATTTTTAAACATTAATTTAAGTGAAAGCAAATTGTTTAACTTTAGCTTCGCGAGCTACTTTCAAAACCTTTGCGGTCGACCGGTCGACCGCGGTCTACGTGTTGGCCATCCCTGGTCTACAAGCATGTTATTTCGCTATTCTTTCTAATTATCTGAAAATTAGATAATTAGAATGTGTTAATTATGTGTTACTTACAAGAAAATTTCCACGTTTTCAGAAATGTGGAAATTTTCTTGTAATTAACACATAGTAATTGTTACCATTGCATCCCTTGGCTATGCCCTTTATTGGATTTTTAATGTAGTTTTAAATTAAATTACAGCAGTTTTTATATGAATGCGAGACTTGCAAATTGTTATAATTTCATCAATGAATCTGTATGATGAATTATAATAAATAGACACCATTAATAAATAAATAGACGATTAAATGATCTTAATTTAAACTCATTTATATAGCATATTTATTTATACTTACCGGATCCATAGTCGGAATGGGACGAGGAGTCGGTTCCGGTGGTTTAGGAGCTTAAAATAAAAGAATATTTTAATTTAGATGATAATACATAAGTTTTAAAAATACATTTATCGACAAAAACATTATAAATAAAAGAAAGTTAAATCGTGTAATGAAATTACAAAAGAATTACTAAATAAACAATATATTAACCTGTGCTTCCTTTCATGTCTAGTTTATGACAACATCAAGCAAGATAGTGTTTAGCCTATGCCTTAGATTTTCTTTCACTGTCGACATTTTTTCCAGAATTAATTATTGTTTTTGAATCAAATTAAAAAAGTACCTTTGCATTTCCATTCTTCTGCATCCAAAACGTAACCCATAACGCATTTACATTTCCTTTGAGGTCCCATTTCAGTGCTTTCGTTTGTGCATTTGGCACGGTCCGGACAATGACGCACTTTCTCAACGTCTTTATATTCGTCGCTGGTTTTGTCGCAAGGATCTAATAAGAATAATAATTTTCACGATTATCTAAATGAAATCAATAAATAAAGAAAACTACCGATTCGAATTCTAACGAATACAAGCATTACCAGGACATTTATAGGCCACAAAAGGCTCCCAATCCGTGCAATTTCGCATCTCATAAGAAACGTCTTCCTTCTTTTCGCATTTAAATTCTCCTTCTTTAGCATGAACGCATTTTCTAAATCTTTCTCTGGTTCCCAATCCACATGTTCTCGAACAAGCAGACCATTCTTCCCAAGGCGATTCTTCTATTTCCTCTAAACAAACGCAATTAAAATTTTTAGAAGTAACGAAAATGTAACAAAAATAAACCTAAAAATATAATTAACCTATATTATTGTTATGCCATTACTCTTAAGAAAATGTAAGCAAGCAAAACTTCCATATAAGTGAGGAAAGTCAATATTAGAAAACTGAAAGTTATACGACCTACTGAAATTGTATTTTGATTTTATTTATATCATTTTAAAAAATTTAAATGTAATTTTAGTCATGTAAATAAATGAAATTACGTTTTCATTAAATCCTTAATGTACAAAGAAAGCTATTTTCTTCAACAAAATGTGTATAATATTGAATAGTGTTTCTCAAACAGCGCGCCGCAGCATATGGTGTGCCCCAAGCGTGACTGGAATAGCTAAACCGAATAGTTATATCGAAAATATTATGGAAGTATACAATGGACCCTCTCTATAACTTGTAGACCCAAAATGGGACAACTTGTAGACCCAAAACAGACACTTGTAGATCCAAAAAATGTCCGTTATAAAGAGATGTCCGCTCAACAAAGGTTTTGTGAAAAATCTCTTTAAAGAAAAACATCATTAAATGTAGCCTGCACTGTTTTTAATTACAAGCACATATCTGTATGACTGTATTGATGATTCTGTAGCGTGTGTTATTTTGGGTCGCAGTCATAATCATAATCATTTTTATTATTTGAATCTCAGAAAGTGAGTAAAGAATTGTTTTTGTATCTTGACTGTGTATTCGATTGGATACCAGAATTTATGTTGATGTAATAGTTTAATAGGGTTGGAAATTTACCAACTTTTCTTTACTGGTAATGAGGAAAATTTTCAAAACGTTACAAGTGTGCCGGTAATATACCTGCACACTTGTAACGCTTAATTGTAACTTGACAAATTTTAAATTTTTACTTAAAATTTAAGACTTATTTTTTGACTTAAAATTTTGACTTAAAATGCTAAAATTTTAATAAAGCCATCGTGCTAACAAATTTTGTATAAAAATAATCTAAAATTTTTAAAATGGGGAAAAATTGTGTTATTTTTACCTTAAATTACGTGTCTTTGTTATTTTAACTTTATCAAAATGGGTATTGTTTAGGATCTGAGAATGAATTAATTCACTTTTCATTATTTCTTACGGGAAAAACTGCTTCGGACTTCGAACGATCTCCTGGAATGAGTTACGAAGTTCGAAGTACGAGGCACCACTGTATATAAATTTTTTTTATTTTATGGCGCTGAAGAGTGTAATCACCCAAAATGTATTTGCCAGATCAATAAATTTTTTAGTAAAGGTTTATCAGTTGTTTTACTACTATACACTTAACTTTTTCCGCCCTGTGATCACTAAGAGATCCTATTTTCAGCAGACCTTTATGGGTTCGGCCAAGCCCACAGTGGGGTGGCCGGGTGGTGAGGGAAGGGGCCCGACATATCCGGACGGACCGTTTTGCTTTTGCGCTCTTTTCAAAATCTAGATCGTTCGCTACAATTTGATCAACGATTTCGGTTATCGTTACCAAACTTTTACTAAGGAAATCTGTAGAGAAATTTTTGGGTTCTTTGTTTTCAGAATCACTATTTTCCAGTTCTACATGGATTCCTTGTTCTTCCAGTTCTTGAAGGTCGTCGTTGATAAGACTCTCACCAGAAACCTGTGTCGTAACTCCTCAATATCCTGTTCGTCTACATCTCCTAGTTCTGCTATATCGATTAGGTTGAGTTTGATCAACTAACGATACAGCGATAGGTTCTTTTCGTTGAGAATTCTTCAGCCGTAACTTGGATACCTTCAGCCGTAACTTCTTCCATACTTCGTTCGTGCATTTATTACTTAATTGTTGCCAAGAGAAGTCGATATTTCCTATGGCATCCACGATGTTATATTTTTTCCAAAATTGCACCAAACAAACATAGATTTAAAGAAAGTACATCTTTTTGCCACCTTTTGCTGATTGGTTTGTGTTCGCAAATAATCGTATTATATACGAATCAATGAAATGCCGCAATAATTTAAATCAGCGCAAATTTTGAACTTTTTTTAGGCTTCGAGCAGACCGCGTTATATCGAGTCAGCGTTAAGCAAGGTCTTACTGTATATCACATTAATGAGGTTGAATGAAAACAGTTGTGTGGACATTCATTCAGTCTTACAATGGTGAAACTTGTCGCTTTGCGTTCTTTTTCATCTTTACCTCTTTTAACATTATCGTATCGCTTATGAGGGATTGAAATTTTTCTTAATAACCAATAAGCGATAGAGACAGTTGCATGTATCAGTCGAACACGTCTTACACGAGATAGGCCTCCATATAAAGCACTTGCTTTATTCTGGATTGATCGCTGAATGCCCCATTTAGATGCCCCAATCCAGAATAGAACAGTAGGCTATATAAGAAATTTGAGAATGTCTCTGTCAGCACTTGCCTATTCATAATCTGTAGTGAAGACAGAACACGCGTTTTTTTCCATGTCCAAAAGAGAATCTGCGAGTGTAGACAAAGCTTCACATAAATCACTAACATTAATAGAGATGGAAACTATTGAATATCACGAACGAGAGAAATGTGGTATGAGAAAATTAGCCGGTGTTCAAGATTGGGGAAAGCACTAGTGGCCATTAGGGGCGCCCTTAGCGTTTATTTAAATTAATTTAAATTAACAATATAAATTATTTCTAATTCAATGTCACGACTTGCATATATCGACACTTGGCAAATAATTTCATCACCCACTTTTAATTCATACAGATACGCGTTTCGGGCTTTCGCCCCTCTTCAGTCTGTTACATCGATAGGTTGTATCTTGTGTATACAGTATCTGTCAGGCACCTTCCGTACTTCCCACTCTCCTTCCTTTCCTCCCCTTCCGACTTGACGGCCTTCCCCGCATGCCTCGTAACTTGTAACGTCTCACTCCCCGAGTGCCGCACACAGCCTCGCCTGCGACTGTATCAATTCCTATTTTAATAATTGTAGCCAGTTTTTATGAATGTCAATGGTTGTATTATTTTTGTCTGTAGTAATTTCGTAGCTTTCCTTGAATTTTCTTTTGTACTAATTTTTTTCCCTTGTGTACTATTATAACATCATTCTTATCTATTTTGCAGTTGTGGGTTGTGCAATGTTCGTAAAAAACAGAGTTGATTCTATTATACTTCAGGCCCGTGATGTGTTCTTTTACTCTTGTTTCTAATTTTCGTTTTGTTTCTCCAATGTATACTTTTGGCGGTTCGCATGTGCAAGGTATTTTATAGACGACTTCGGTAGTGTTGTATTTGTCTGATTGTTTATTTATGCCAGGTTCAGCCTTCCGGATTCTTTTTTGCAAGTTGTTACAGGTTGGGGCTAGCTTTAAATTTATTTTATCAAAACTTTTGTTTACCTGTTCAAAGAAGCCACGAATGTAGAAGAAGGATATGTATATTACTCTGTTTTTACCTTTGTTTTGTTTATTTTCCAGCTTTTTATTGTTGATTTTACTTTCCCAGTTATTTATTATTCGTTTTGGATAGCCGTTAAAGAGGAATTTAGTTCGCAGTTCGTTGAGGTGTTTTTTCTTCTTCTGTAGTGAGCTTGTTCTGCTCTCGATTTTTTATACTCCATGATGAATATGTTTTCTTTTATGTACTGTGAAATGTTTGAATTGTAATTTAACACTTTCCTGATTTCGCATGGTTTTGTATATGGCTCGAATTCAATCTTGTTTGCCTTTCTGGTTATTCTAATGTCGAGGTAATTTATTTCCGTGTTTGCCTCATTTTCTACCTTGAATTTGATGTTATCGTTACAACTTACGAGACATGCGGGGGATGCCGTCAAGTCGTAAGGGGAGGGAAGGGAAGGGGAGTGGGAAGTATGGAAGGTGCCTGACAGATACTGTATACACAAGATACAACCTATCTATGTAACAGACTGAAGAGGGGCGAAAGCCCGAAACGCGTATCTGTATGAATTAAAAGTGGATGATGAAATTATTTGCCAAGTGTCGAAAAATGCACCAAGTCGTGACATTGAATTAGAAGGATCAAGAAGAAGACAGGGTTTCGCCAAATAAATAAAACAATATAAATTATTTTAATTTACNATTTTAACTATAAATAATATAAATAGATAATGCAGCTCTCCAATAGGCATTCCAATAGAGGATATGGACCTTTTGTATTTCTGATAGGCAGTGTATGGCTACTATCATAAGGTTTGGTACCCCTGGTATATATGATCACTAAATGTAATCTGATTTTATTTACTATAGAACAGTGATAATTATCTTACATATAGTTAAAATACTATAAATAGAGAATGTTTTATTCCATTAGATATTCCAATAGAGGATGTGGCTTCCGTGTATTTCCAATAGACAGTGTGTGGCTCTTATTGTGACAATACTTTTTTTTTTTAACTCTCCGCCCTGTGGGCACTAAGAGGGCCTTTTTTTGCAATCCCATTATGGGTTCGGCCAGGCCCACAATGCGGCTGCCGGGTGGAATCCGGAAGGCTGAACCTGGCATAAATAAACAATCAGACAAATACAACACTACCGAAGTCGTCTATAAAATACCTTGCACATGCGAACCGCCAAAAGTATACACTGGAGAAACAAAAAGAAAATTATAAACAAGATTAAAAGAACACATCACGGACCCGACATATCCGAACGGACCACCCCCCGAAAAATTCCTGGGGATTTTTCGACCCGTTCGGATTCGAACCCGGGTCCCCCAGAGTGGTAAACTGCCATCTTCACCGCTCGGCCATCCGGCCGCTATTGTGACTATACTCTATTTGGCCACCCCTGGTATATAGCATCCATTTTATATCAGATTAAATAAGCAAATTGTAACTTTTGTTTCGATGTCAATCTTGGTCCCAACGTATTCGACAGTTATTTTTAATTATTTTTGCATTACCATTTTTTTTAAATTTTGAGTGCTCTAAAATTTCTCTCCAAAATCATATATAAGAATTTTCTTTAATTTCTATTATATAATTAAAATAACACATAATTATATTTTCAAAGATCAATATAGATACGTACCATCGTTTTCATTTTCAAGCTAAGATAGTGGTAATCAATCTTACGTCTAAATGCTTAGAGTTAGACCATAAAGATTGACTTACTTTCGCAAGTGTGCGTGTTGCAATCTTCTTCCTTTTCGCTAGGTCCTTCGCAATTGGCTCCGTTATTCTGAGGTTTGGGATTAGTACAGGTTCTGACGAATTTTTGTTTACCTCCTCCACAGTGTTTTGAACATTCCGAATCCGACATTATGCTCCATTTAGTCCATCCTCCGTCCACAGCTTGAAGAAAGAAAGAAAAAAAGGATTGATGAGAACAATCTAGTGTATAAAAATTTAAGGCTTTTTTGACGAATTTATTTGGTTTAAAATACATTAACAGTAATCAGTGTTCGATCTAGAAAATAGAATGATAGATGTTCTTACGTGGAATTTACCAGCTTAAAGACCGATGCTCTTTACGCATTGATTCAAATAATCTTTTTTATTTTTATGGTGTATTTGTAGAATTGTGAGTTTTTGTCTTGGTAACTTTAACTTTCATATTATCAATTTTTTTTATAAATCGGACCGTAATTTATTTTAAATTTTAAGCAGGTAATAAAATGAATACGTTTTTAATTAGAAAATAAATTTAAATATTTTTATTTTAAAAATTATGGCGTGTCGCAGAAATCTAATTAAATTCAAAGTGTGTCGCTAATCCAAAAAGGTTGAGAAACACTGGTTTAAATGCATGGACATCTTTTGAAAATTATTATAATGATTTGGAAGCATTACGCGCAATTTAGTGCACGAACTTTCTACATCATTAAACGAAAAAGAATATCAAAGATTTCTTAATGTAAAAATATCGTTCGCATTTGATTGATATTATTAATTCGCATTAATATTAATTGTTTGAATCATTTTATAAAGATCGAATTGAATTGAGGTCCTTGTCTGTCGGAACGGCAAAAATCTGCTGTTGCTGAAAGGCAAAGACTTAGTGAGAATTTACAGTTTCATCGTTAAGAAACTAACTGGTCAAATTAAAGTATGTTTTTAAAACATTTTATCAATAGTTTTGAACAGTTCAAAACTATTGATAAAATGTTCAATGCAAACTGACAATCGCCTTTTACAATGCACAATGACAATCGCCTTTTACACTTCAGCTACTACATATTCACACATCACATAGGCAAAAGAATAAAACAAAATCTAATGGTTTTGATCTATTCCTGTGTTCCCCAACCGGTGTGCCGTCACATGGTGAAAGGTGTGACGTAAACTTTTACATATTCTGTTAATTTCAAGTTTTATTTATATATTTTTATCACAGTTGTTGTGTTTCTTATGCTTATATTTCATTCTCTGCCGCAGCACTTATGAAATAACATGATGTTTGTTTATTCTTTATTACAAGCTACGCATTTTTATTCATTCTAAGAAATTATATGTAAAAAAATTGCTCACAGGTGCAGCGGCGGCCTTATCCATTGCGAGGCTCTGGGCGGCAGATCTTTGCTAGGCCCTTGTCCTTTGTGCAAAGTATGTGAATTGAAATAGTAGGCACTTATTAATATTAATATATACTGTACTATAAATTAAATTTATTTTATTGTTATAACTAATAGCCAAGGATAAAATAAAAAGTTTTAAATATCAACTTTTTTCTACTTGGTTGTTGCACGAGGCCCCTCCAAGAGCGAGGCCCCGGGCGATTGCCCTGCTCGCCACCCCCTAAGGCCGCCACTGCACAGGTGTTGATGTCTGTTTAATAACAATAATAATAGGTTAGTAGCATTACGTAATTCTATTAATAGTATCATATCATACGTTTTTGAGAGGAATAACATTTTGGTGTACCGTGTTGAGTCATGGGTGTGCTGCAAGTAGAAAAACGTTGCGGAATACTGATCTAGTCATCTTTACATCTAGAATTACTAGATGTAAGTATATTTTTAGAATAGAATCATTGCAAAGTTATAATAAAATAAAGAATAAACATTCCAAAATGGTCAACTCTTAAAGGTAAACTTCGTCAACAAAAATATGAATTTAAAACATATTATATAAACACTAAATGTAAACTAATGAAAATAAACTACAAATAAAAATATAAAATAAAATAAAAATAGGTCTCAGCTTATAACTTATCTAAGTTGATTTAGACCTCTTAGTTCAAGTTAAGAACTTCCGTGACCTAGGAAAGTTTACCGCATCCGTGCTTTATACACTATGTGGTATGTGAATATATAGTAATTTTAGGAATTACTGAATTGACTCTCTGATATGATTGGAATACAACAAATATTGATTTTTACCTAACGTAGATTTAAAGCAGAAAAATTACTATTGATTGATACGGACGTATAAATATCCAAGGCAATAAACATTGTATATGGAAACATTTATCGATAAAGCCGTAGTTGTCAAGGAACGTATGATCAGTCGAAGAAATCAATTCACATCTACGGCTAATACTGATAGTTCGTACAAAGTGCCAATCAATGATTGACTCTCCTTTCCCGTCTTTCTTATCTCTTATGTCTTTTCTATTTCCAAAAAATATATTATTGATGATTGTTTTGATGGAGTTCCAACTATTCAGCCGAATTTACCGACATTGGAAGCGAGACCAACCCTAAACTCGCGCAGTAATTTCGACCCTGATTCCACACAAGTATTAATATATACATTACTTTGAGCTCGATTTTAATATGAAAGCTTTAAAAATATTTTATATTATTATTTAATAATATAATTATTACTTACGTTCGTTTTGTAGACTTGAATTAATTAAAACGGTTAAAAATGTTAAAAATCTCACAACTCGCATTGTTTAAGAAGCATAAATCTAAAAAAATAAAGTATATTTCAAAACATAATTTCTGAAAGTATTTATTACTATAATTTATAAATCATTGATAAAATTTATTCAGCAAATCTATATAGATTCATATAAATAAACGCATAAACAACAATACAATTTGATAAACATTTTAAGTCTTATGTTAAAGTATACACATTAGAATGGTCCTTATTTATATAGGTAAAAAATACGTTTTGAAATTTGTTTGGCAAGAACTCCCTCAGTTTTACTAAATTGTGTGATAAAATAACATTTAAAAATTTCAAATCATTTGGATATTATTTACCTGTGCTCTATAGTGAAAATCATAGTGAAACGAGCAATTATTTATTGTGACGATGTCACAATGCCGGACTGTAATTTTTAATCATATTTTTAATTTTCTTAATTTAAAATATATGCTCGCCACCTCAAATTAGTTGTCTTGCCCATGGACAGTACATCATACTTTCCCTTTAACAATAGAGTCGTGCCGATCATCTACTAACTCCTTTCAGAGAAAAATTTTAAATTAAAATAACATGACTTCTGGTTTACATAGGAAGTTCATATATAGTTAATCGGGGCCTGATGCTCATAAGCTTTCCATATCTGGTTTCGACTTTCATCTACGTCACTCTGTTCTCGAGATTAATTAAGGAACGACAGACAGACAGACGAATGGACGGATGGAGGACAGTAGAAATTTATATCTACATATTTTTCAAATTTCAATCCAAAAAGTATTAATTTTTCTTTTTATTTATAAGTTATGTTTGCTTTCGGTTTATATGTGCGCTTAAAAGTTCAGAAAATTGGCGTTAGGAAGCGGTATCCACAAGACTTTTACCTGTAGGCCTATTTACCTTACATTTCAGCTTTAAGCTCCAAGCTTATCTTTACCAAAGAAAAACTGTTAAGAACAGTCACCTAAATTGTCACCTAAATTGTCATAAATTTTTACTCGGCGTAATTTTTTTATATCTCAGATGTTTTTGTTTAATAATTGTATTACTACGTCAAGATATAAAATCGGTTGTCCTGACCGCCGACCAAAGCGCCGCAGACTACACTTTTGATACGCGCACGCCATTTAGAAAAATCGTTAAAACCAGTTTTAATTCGCATAAATTTGAGCTTGTAACTCTGGGTAAGATTTTTAATAAAATTCATTTGTTTCCATGCAATTTTATCCTTATAAGCAGGAAATTAAGCCGTAAAACTGAATTAGCTGTGTGGGAAATTCCCGTGAACCGGAAATTTTCCATACAGTTTATTGACCTATCGATCCGGAAGTTTCGCGAGTATTTTATTAATAATGTGAAAGGCTTAAATTTAAAATTTGAGCTTTGTAGACCCAGTAGTTTTTTCTCTACAAACATCTGCAGTGCCGGATGAAGAAAAAGAAGAAAAAAATTAGTTTTTTTGGCAATTTTTGCACTTTTCAATTGCTTATATTTCGAAACCGCTTTACAGAAAATCTTAAAATTTGGCTGAAGAGGGACAGACAACCTGTCCGAAATGCATACCGTCGTCATAATAAACCTGTCTACCTACTTCTGGTGATTACTCCGAGAACTTCAATAGTGTGTGATAAGTCCTCCATAGAGCCAAAACGTAGTGCTCATAGTTTCCTATATATTTTTCATCTTCGGAAATACGGACTACCTTACATATTTACATATATAATAAAAATAAATTTTATAATAAATTCCTATTATGGCAGCTGTCATTGTTATATTAAATAGTAAAAAAGCTCAAGTAAAAAAATAGACTTCGCTTTACCACAAAATTGGAGAACCGTCGTAAAGCGAATAGTCTTATTTCCTATATCAGCGTTATGAATTGAGATTGCGTTCCTGGAAATAACAATTCTAACTATAAAATATCACACAAAGATGGATTAAAAAAGTAAGACATTTTATAGCCATAATTTAAACAAGTAGAAAGGGAGTATAGCATATAACTGTTTAAAGGATATCAATTTTTGAGACGATTAAAATGATAAAGTATAGGAAAAATGTATTAAAATATATCTATAAATTTAAATAAGTTTAATAAAATTTGATAGCAAGTATCCCATTTAAAATAATCGTGGAATAATTATTGATGAAAAATGTGTGTTGGGTACCGCGTCCATCGATCAAAATTTTCGAAAGAATTTCGTTTCTGGTAAATTCTCTAAAGGGTGTGGCCCGTCTTTTGTCCTTCACTAGCTAATTGAATACTGGCCATTTCGTTTTATCGTATTTTTAAAATACTGAATATTAGTTTCCTCCGTCAGCGAAAATCGTTATTCCTAAATATGCCAAAAAATCGTAAAAATTTTTTCTCCAAATTTGACTTAAAATATCATTTAAGATCAATGTCATGAAATTTAATGCCATAAAAATGCGAACACTCCAAGGAAATTGTAATACATTTATTGAAATTTTATGAAACTTAGTAGAATAATAAATGAATTAACTATAAATAACACTCTCTCGTTTCCGCGCTAAAATGAAACTATATCCGATTTTAGTGTGGAAGGAGAGGAATTAGTACACAAAAGATAAAATAAATAGAGCTGTTTGTTACGAGAATGGTCATATTTTTTTATAATAAATTATAAAGCACAATAATTTACTTTTATGATACAATATACTGTTTTTAATTAATTATTGAAAATTTATGATATTTATGTAATTAGCAATCTGTTTGTCGATCAGCATATCGTAGAGATAATATCATGTTGAAAATAGAATGTTTTGTTTTATTTTCTTATTAGTTATTATTACTAAAATAGTAGATAGTGTTTGTTTCTTATTGAATTTTTATTTATTATCGCCCTACTCAATAAAATTGTATTTTGTTAAGACTTAAGTTAAAATATACAATTCGTCAAAGAAGTTGAATACAGTCGACCCTCCTATAACGCGGTAGATACGTTCCACTTTATAAGAATTTCACGTTGTAGGAATCCTTAAATACATGAGCCAATCAAAGCCCGGCACGTGTGCAGTTTACGGACTACGGCTGTTTGAAAGGTTTTCTTCCATAAAATTAATCGATTTTAGACTAATTTGACTCAACATTTCCAAAACACGTATAATTTTTTGGGAATAATCCGCATAAACTATGCTATAAACAAAAAATTGTAGGATTACTTACCGAGTGTGCACCGTTCGACGACGCCATTGCTTAAGCTTGTTTTCGTTGCAGAGCAGCGCATCGAACGGCGGGCGCGTTTTCTGATAAGTTATTTTTCTGCGAAAATTCGTTGAACTTTGGAGACATTATTAATAGAAATAATTTTTATGGCCATTGAATAAGAAATGTTTTTTCAAAGAAATGTATAAAATTACAGTACTGTATTAGACTTACAGTACCTAATTTATATACTGTACAGACGATAGTAAACTCAACTCCCCCGCCTAAACTCTTAATAGCGTGTAAGTAGTTCGGCTGCTCGTCCACTATTGGTCCTGATTCGACCAATCCTGTCGCGACACGAGTCGACGATGACGTTTTACCGCATTTTACGAGTCTCTTTTAGCGTCATTATACGAATACGGTCGCAATTTTTTCGCCGCGAATCCGCATTATATGAACCCGCGTTATAGGGGGTCGACTGTATTTAGCTTTTAAGTTAAGGCGTAAAATATCCAGCAACGAGTTGCTTAACTGTTCCCGCAACATTTGGTGGCAGCATCTGTTATCATATTTTATTTAAAAACTTTATTTTTTACTATTATAAAATGGCAAAAAGCTTAAATTTTTAGGGTAGGGATGAGCTTTATGAAAAAAAATTGTAAATGCTAATAACGAGTAAAATTGTCATTAACGGTTTTAGTTTTAGTCACCGTTTTAGTACTAAAAATAAAACTAAACAGTGTTATATTTTAATATCCTTTCAAATTTGCACCTGTTTGCCTCATCTATTGACACAGTTATCAGTATCATCAAACTGTTCAGTATACTTTACATATTGTTACTGTAAATGTATTTATTATAAATAATTAATTAAATAACTTTAATTGATTTTATTACATGCTTAAACGTATGTTTCTCTTTTATAATTAAACGATTAAATGTTGTGTTAACGTAAAGATAACACATTTAATCGTTAAACCTACTGTCATATCAAAGTGTATAAAAATTTTACCGTAAATACTGTATTTTGAAATATAATTATTTTACTTTGTTTCGATTTATTTTATCGCGAATTTTTAAATTTATTTATTTGTATTTTAAAAATATTATTATATTCTTTCTTCTTTCCGATAATAGTCGTAACTTTTCGAAGTTAAAAATTTAAAATTTTAAAAAATGTTTATAAGTTATCAGTTCTTAAAAATATTTTAAAAATTCATATTTAAATATTTGACACAATTTTAAATAAAAGTTTAAATCTAAAAAATAAATAATTTTTAAAGAATTTTTCAAATTGTTATTTCTCAAATTATAATTTGAAAAATAAAAAAGAAAATTATAGATTTTACGAAATTAATTTAGAAACAGTTGGCCTTGAACTTTCAACCTTTAAAAACTTATGGATGGTATTGATACGGAAAAGTTAAAAATAACTGACCCGCAATCGTCTTAAAACAAATATATATATTTTGAATAATATCTAAACAATTGACTGAAATCTCCTAAACCAGAAATAATTTAAATCCAAAAATTAGACAGTCGAAATGATGGCCGCGCTTGGGGATCATAATGTCAAACCAATAATTTATCAAGGGCAGTATGAGTCGGGGTATCTGTTCCCATCCATCACCCATACTTGGCGGTCTGTCTTACGAGGAATAACATAATTGTGACGGTCCATATCACCTACAATGCAATGATAGTTTGCGTTAATTAATACATCAGTAAACAAAATTTCGACTAATATTAGATGTATCAGATAAAATAATGTCAGATTTTGGATTTCGTGCCGTCCAACTGTGTACCGTATACAACCACGTACAAAACCATATATAACCACGACTTTAGCAAAAAGTTGCAATTTATATTTATAA